ATGGATATTTTCCAGTTAGTTGACCAGACAGTTGTCTCCCACATTTTCTGGAATAGACTGATAAGCCCGTCCAAGGCTGGATTTGGTAGCTGAAACATGTCAACTGACGCCCAGGGCCTTATTCCTCCCCCTTCCCCACCGCCAATGTCTTCAATGCAGCGTTAACTTCCTTCATCATATTCCACTTCCTCAAATATTTCAATGTTGACCAATTCTTTTTGGAATGAATTACTGTTACCAGTTTCTTAAGTATGTTTTTTCTGGAAATATTCTACCTAAGCAAAGGTGAGGAACTTTAGTGATGTAGTGTTATACGCTGTGCTGCTAATCCAAAGGTGAGCAGTTTGAATCTGCCAGTTGCTCTGTGGTGGAAAGGCACTCTCTTTTCATAAAGATTTACAAACTCAGAAAGCCAATGTAAGGTCACTCTAAGACAGAATGAACTTGATGGCAGTGGATTTTTGGTATAGAGCAGATACTTCATTGTTGTTGTTATAGGGCATTGAATTAGAGTTGATTCACAGCTGACTCTTCAGAGGTTTTCAGAGGCTGTAAATTGCACAGAAGATGACTGCCCATCTTTCTCTCAAAGAGCAGTTGTTGGATTTGAATGATCAGCCTTTGGGTGGTACAACTCCTTAACAATTAAGTTACAAAAGCTCTGTGGGTACCCCACCAATGTATAAATATTTCAATATTTACATCAACCTTGCTCTACTGACATTTTGGACTAAATCCCCTTTGTTTTCAAAGGCTGTCCTGTGTATTGTATTAAGCAATATCCTTGACTTTTAGTACCTAGATGTCAGCAGCAATCCTTTCCACCTCAAAGTTGTGACAACAAAAATGTTGTTAGGCATTGTCACATCATTCCTAATTGAGAACCACTGAAGTACAGTAAAACATTTATACATATTTCCTCCTTTTTAAATGAATGTTACATAGTTTTTCAATTTTCCATTTTCATTTTTAATACTTAAATATTCTATCAGTTGTACAGAAATGTCAATTTTATTTCTATCTTGCTATCATTATGTATTTATATGACAATATTGTCAACAATTGCATCTTAATTGGATCCACAATCAATACTCATATTGCATTGGGAAGGTCCCCTGTCAGGGACCTCTCCAAGCTACTAAGGAGCAATGATATCAGTTTTAATACTAAGGTGCACCTGATTAAGGCCATGGTCTTTTCAATCACCTGCATCTGAGACCTGGATAATGAATAAGAATGACAGAAGAATAATTGATGCCTCTGACCTGTGGCATTGGAAAAGAGTACTGAATATCCTATGGATAGCAAAAAGGACAAAAAGATATGTCTTGGAGAAGAGTAGCCAGAGTATACCATGGATTCAAAGATGGTGAAGCTTTGCCTCACATACTTTGGACATGTTGCTAAGAGAAGCTATTACTTGGAAAGGGGCATCATGCTTGGGAAGGTGAAGGGTTAGCAAAAGAGAGGAAGATCCTCAACAAAATGGATTGCATTAGTGACAGCAGCACTGAGCTCAGGTGTGTCAGTGTTTGTGAGGATGGCACAGGATAGGACACAGTTCAGACTGTTGTTCATAGGGTCACTATGAGTGACCAAACAAAAAACAAAACAAAACATCATTTACCAGCGCCAAACAAAAACAAAATCATTATGTATTTAGAATATTAGTTAACTTAAACAACTTTTTGAGGAAATAGTTTCATTTGGAAACAAATACATCTTTTATCCTTGATTGTGTTAATGATACCTAGGAACAGCCTAACTACAAAGCACTAATGCATCCATTTAAGTCTCACTTTTACTTGGTGGCAGTGCATTCTAATTACTGTTGTTGCTGTTAAGTGCTACTGAGTCATAGACAACTAACTCATAGCAACCCTATGAACAAAAGACCTAAACACTTGTGTAACGTTCATAGTTTCTCCAAGTTCATAGAGTTTCTGGTTGTTTGTTGTTGTTGTTATGTGCCGTCGAGTCGCCTGCGACTCATAGCGACCCTATATAGGTACAACAGCCCTAAACTCCACTCTGTCCTGTGCCAATCGCACTGTCTCCGACACTCCCATCCCAATTATCCCAGTCACTGAATCAATCCACCTCATAGAGGGCCTTCCTCTCCTGCACCGTCCCTCCACCCTCCCAAGCATGATGTCCCTCTCCAAGGACCGGTCTCTCCTCACTACATGTTCAAAGTAAGTTAGACGGAGCCTCAGAATCCTTGCTTCCAAGGAGCCACCCGGTTTAACCCTCTCCAGGACAAATCTATTTGTTTTCCTAGCAGTCCATGGTATTCTCAGTACTCTTCTCCAGCACCACAGCTCAAAGGCATCAATTCTCCTTCTATCCTCCTTGGTCATTGTCCAACTCTCTGATGCATAACAGGTGATTGCGAAGACTATGGCCTATATCAGGCGCACCTTAGTCTCCAGGGAGACACCACTGCTCTTCAGTACTTTGGAGAGGTCCCTAACAGCAGACTTTCCCATGGCAATGCGCCTTTTAATTTCCTGGCTGCTGGTGCCAAGACTGTTGACTACAGAGCCAAGCAAACTAAAGCTGTGTACAATCTCAATCTCTTCACCATCCATCCTGATGCTGCCGATTGGTCCAGTGGTGAGAATCTTTCAGAGTTTCTGGAGGCAAGCCATTTCAGAAGTGGATGCTACTCCTGCTTCCAAGTTTGTTTTATTCAGGGAGCTCCTCCAAACACAGTCTACCATGCATAACTAGTATCACATTTGACACATCAGTGTCACAATGTTTAGCATTACAGCAACCGCAAGTTACCCCTGTACAGCAAATGGACAGACCAGTGCTATACCACTTAAAAGAATGTTTGACCAAAAACAATTAAATAATGATTACCCATGGTAGACAGTGTCTGGTGGAGCTCACTGTGTAAAACAAGCTTGGAAGCAGGAGTGGCATCCACTTCCAAAATAACTAACCCCCACAGTAGTTAGTGCTTATTAAACACTTATTGTGTGGAAAGATGGAGGGTTTATACAAAAGAGAACGACTCTCAACAAGATGGATTAACACAATGAATGTAACATTGGGCTCAAGTGTATCAGAGATGATGAGGATGGCGCAAGATAGATCCAATGGGTCACTGTGAGTCATACTCAACTCCAAAAGGCATCTTTTGCCAGTTCCTTTCATGCCAAACAATATGGACAAGGAAATAATAATCATCTTTAAAGTTTACAGATAATAAATAGTTCTGGACTTCTTCATGAATAGCCAGTGAGAATTATGTGAAATGACACTCTTGATTTCTAAGTGAGAAAAAAGTTTTCTTCAGCTCTGAAATCACACTCAAGGTCTCCAGGTCTGAGGAAGACTGGTTATACTTTCTATGCCCTTACCCTCCTCCAGCCTCCCTTCTGCTAATTTATTATAGAATATATAATTTATTATTACATATTACATAAAACAACCTTCAGATCTTCCATTTCCTAAGCTTGGAAATACAATTTGTAGTACTGAACCCCTTGCAACAAATTTTACAGTACCTGAAAAATCTATAACTCTAAAACACAAAAGGTAATGGAGGTTTTTTCACTAGGGATAATAAACGCAAAAAGGCTTTTTTTATAGTAATTCTCCACTGGCTGCTAGTGTATGGTTCTACTTGATAGTTCTTGCTTTGTATTTTAAAAACATCATTTTAGTAAGTCAAGCATTCCTGGGAAGATGACTTTATTAAATGAAGTGTAGATTTACTGTATTTGTATTGATATTCCCAAACTTGTAATGGGAAGGTATTTGCTTTTATGATTAAAGAGTCATTTAATAGAAGCACCATTAAAATCTAAATAGAAATAAATATTTCTTATAGCCCCAACAATTGACTTTCAAATATGTGATTCCTATAGTAAACAGAATGCATGAAAATATTTTAAATTGAAATGTTAAGTCTTTTACAAGTCTTAGGAATAACAAAGCAAGAATTTTGCCTACCTCCTATTTCCTGGCCATGACAAGTGTTCAATTCAGCCAGAAGTTGGTTAAAATCATCTTGATGAGCAATCCAATTGTCCTGAAAAATACCAAAAATTTATTAAAGGCAATCCTGTTGTTTACCTAAAATAAGATACATTTTGGAATCAAGGAAATATAGGGTTAATGTTAAATTTTATGTATTCCATAAATATAATTTTATAAATTTAGACAGAAAAAATAAGAATGTGAACTTGAACCATTATTTATCACAATTCATATTAAAAAAGGTTTTTTTGAAGCTTATTTCCTGATTCAATTGTAAACTGCCAATTAGTAGTTAATGCATATTCAAATAACTAACACTAAGTATGAAAATAAAATAATCATTTTCTTCCCAAAGGATTTATGTGCTAATTTTCACATAAAATGCACACACACATACATACAGCACATAGAACATACAGAAAACTAATGCACAAGGAGTCACTAATTGAAATTTTAATGAAAGTTTATAGAGACTTTGGATTTCCATTCACTCATTGTTGCACATTTTCCTCCCTGCCCACCCCTCCCCCATTAGTTTTTCTTTGAAAGGTAAAAAAAACCCTTTCATTATTATACAACTCCCCCCACCCCAAATAGCACAATGTGCACTTTATGTGAATACAAATAGCTCAAAAGACAAGAGAATGGGGGAACTTTTGTTTGTTGTAGTTGTTGTTATTTTTCAGTTGCTTCCTATGCATCTGAAAGTTAGTGAATAAGAATAACATAAGAAGAAATGATTTATACCTTTGGATTATGATCTGAATATCCTATGGACTGCCAAACGCACAAACAAAATCAGTCTTGGAGGAAGTGAAACCTTACTCACATATTTGGGGCATGTGATATAGAAGGCCTTCATATATCGAGATGGGGTGACACAGCAACTGGGCTCAAGCACATAAGAGGCACATAAGTGCAGGGTAGGATAAGATTCAGATTTGTTGTTCATTGGGCCATTATGAGTCAAACAACTCAATGGCACTTAATAACAATAACTCAAAATGGCCAGTGGATTTGGTTTGTAGGCTTTTCGAGTTTTATATAGTTTATCTAATTTTATTTAGTCATAATAACCTCAATGAGACAAAACAATATTGCAGATGTGAAAGAGATGACTCTTAAGCTCTGTGCATTTACCAGCATCCTTTGTGGATTGGTTAGGTTAGTGAATTTCATTTTAGCAAATTTCATTTTACCAAAAAAAAAATGGTTAAGGTTGTAAATAAACCCGTATTAATTTTTTTTTTTTAATGTTTAAGGTTAAGGCTTCAGTATGGATTAAAGCTCAACATCAAGAAAACAAAGATTCTCACCACTGGGACTATTGGCAGCATCATGATAGATGATGAAGAGATTAAGATTGTTAACAGCTTTAGTTTGCTTGGCTCCACAATCCTAATACCAACAGCCAGAAAATTAAAAAAACAAATTGCACTGGGAAAAATTCTGCTGTCAGAAACCTCTCCAAAGTACTGAGGAGCAATGATGTCAGTCTGGAGACTAAGGTGCACCTGATATAGGCCATAGTCTTTGCAATTACTTGCTATGCATCAAAGAGCTGGACCATGACCAGCGATAATAGAAGGAGAATTGATGCTTTTGAGTGGTGGTGCTGGAGAAGAGTAATGAATATAAAATGGACTGCTAGGAGAACCAACAGGTTCATCCTAGAGAGGGTGAGACCAGGCTGCTCCTTGGAGGCAAGGATTCTGAAGTTTTGTCTGACTTAATTTTGACATACTTTTGCAAGATGTGATCAGTCCTTGGAGAAGGACGCCATGCTTGGGAGGGTGGAGAGACAACACGGGAAAGGAAGACCCTCAATGAGATGGATTGATTCAGTGACTGGAGTAATAAAGGTATGTGTGTCAGAGACAATAACATTGGCACAGGCTATAGTAGGTTTAGGGCTGTTGTATATAGGGTTGGTATGAGTCGTAGGTGACTCGATAGCACATAACAACAACAAGGTTAAGGCACACTAACAAGGTTACTGGGCAATGTTTCTGCTAAGAAAAAAGTATATCTGTAGATCTCTATCTTAATAACTATATTCAACACTGACTTTACACAAACTCTGAAGTAACTTTAGTAGTTGAGAAAATTTTAGTTATTTCAATCCACTAGTTCTAGCTACCGAGTGATTCAAAGAAATTCCATTTACTTAAGATAAGAATGAGCCCTGGTGGCATATTGCACACTTACCAACTGCAAACCAGGTCTTCAGTGAGTTAATGGTAAGGTGTTGCACTTCCAACCCAAAGGCACATCTGGTTCAAATCTACCAGCTACTCTAAGGGAAATAGATGAGCAGCCTTCTCCTGAGAGATTTACTGCCTCTGAAAACCCACTGGAGGGTCAGCTAAGAGTCGGTTCTGAATCAACAGTACATAACAACTGAACAATAACCAAAACGTCAGTTCAAATCCACCAATGGTTCTTTGGGAAACTCTCCTCCCATAAATCTTTACAGCCTAGGAAGTCTGATAGAAGGTCATTACATTTCAGAATTGACTTGATGGCAATGTGTCTGATTTGGTTTTAAGGTAAGGATAATTAGCTTAGGTGAAATGAATTTCCTTGACTAGCTCAATAGCTCAGAGCAGTGGATGGAAGTAGCTGAAATTATCTGAAAGAATCTCAACAAGAAGAATTGACACAGTGACTACAACAGTGGGGTTAAGTACAGTGGAGATAGTGACAATGGTCCGGTCAATCAGGTGCGGTTTTATTCTGTTGTACATGGGGTGACGTCGTATGAGTTAATATCAATCAGTTACTTAATGGCAGCTAACAAGAATAAGATAATTATTTACATTTTCTACCAGATTTTATAAGTTACAACAAGACAGGGCAAGGTTTAGATCCATTGTTTGCAGGGCCACTAGGCACTTAACAACAACAAAAATTTAAGAACAAAATTTTAAGCTCAGATATTTTCTAAATCAAACATGCTAATAATGTTAAGTATGATGAGCTATTATTTTTAATTACTGAACAGTTTCAATTTTACATGTATAAGAGGAAATGTGAATAAGTTCAATTGCTATACAACAGTCAGAAACAAATGAGACACTATTGTCATATAGTCTTTCCTAAAGTAAATGCCACAAATTTTTAATAATGCTGCTGTTAATATGTCACTAAGTCAGAATGAACTCACAGCTGACCTTACAGGGGTTTTTCAGAGGCTGTATATCACACCAGGAGAGGCTCTCCATCTTGCTCTCACAGATTAACTGGTATTTTCAAACAATGTGCCTTTGGGGTTGGCAGTGCAATCCCTTAGTACTAGGCCACCACAGTTCAAACTAAATGTTACAAACTTTTAATAATGTATGCTAGTACCAGAACACAGGTAAATATATTTGTAAAGTTTAGCAATAAAACTAGTTTTGATCTTTTAGACATTAGCAAATAAAGGACCCCTAAGGCCAATAAGATGTGGTTAAAGTCAGTGTATGTATTAAAGTAAATGTGGTTAAAGTAACAGTAATTAATTACTGTTACTCTAAAGTCATAGATCAACAGTAATTCTATAAAGCACAACGTTCAGAAATTATTGTAAAAAGAAAACATACATGAACTAAATGTATAGAAGTGATTGTAAAAAACAATCTATTTGAAAGGATTATAAATTTTGTATTTACAAAATTGAAGTCAGTTATGCAATGAAACAACCAGAAGCTAATGCTGTTGCTCACTTCATTATTGATTGTAGCTCCAAGTCCCAGGTGGTTATTTTTTACTTGAACTTTAATATGATCTGTGGCTCCTTGTTCCTGAGCTCCTAAACCCTGTGAAGATTAAACACAAATGGTTAGCACTTTTATCACAGGCACAGGGATTATTTCTTTCTTCCTTCATCAGCTACTGAATTAATGATTAAGCATCTAAATGACATAATTTTTCAACTCATGACAAACCGTGAGGCCTATGTAAACACTTGGTAGAGTACGTCTTTTCTGGCCTGCTCAAAAGCAAAGAGTAATGCCATAAAACTATTAGAAATTCATCAGAGTTATTAAGAATCTGTAACTCTCTCTATTAAATAACTTTGCAAAATAGCACTAAAAGAAGGAGTAAGAAGAAGGTGACTATAAATCCCTGCTTCAATTAACAACCATATGTAAGGTGTTCAAAGTCAAGAGAACAGCAACTATAAAGAATCTAAAGTAGGGAAAAGTGAGCATGGTGTACTGGAAAACCTCGGGTGGTGTAGTGTAGAGCGACTTACTGCTAACATAAAGGCCTCGTGGCTCCAAGGCCTGGAAGCCACCAGTGGCTCCAGGGCAAAAAGACAGGCAGTCTTCTCCCTTTATGATTTACAAACTCACAAACCAGACAGAAGGTCAATCTGAGTCAAAACTGACTCAATGGTGTGCGTTTTGTGACTTCACAAGTTCTGGAAGTCATAAGAAGAATTAGATTTTATTTAAAAACAATGGAAAACCACTGAACTTTTAAGCAAAGGGATGATATAATCTAATACATGGTTTCAAGTATCTCTCTGGCTGTTATATGGCAAGTGACTAACGGCAGAAAAAGACAAGAGAAGAAAACAAAGGAAAGCAGCTGAAAGGTTGTTACAGTGATTGCAGAAAGCAAGGAAGGTGGCTGAACTACAGCTGTGCCCTGGAAAGAGAGGAATAATGAGAGGATGTGTGAAGTGGAAAAGTCAGGCATGACTCCTAGGTTACTGGATTGAGTAACTGGCTAGTTACGATGTGATCAACTTAAAATGGGGGTAAACCAGCCAAGAAAAAAAGGTGGAGGATTAAGAGTTTTACAATTAAAATAACAATCATGACATGCCTGCTTAAATGAAAATGTCAAGGACTTGGAAGGGTTTGAATTTAACGTTGCATTTAGAAGTTGGAAGCTCAGAGGACAGATCTGGACTAGATGAACAGCACATCAACAGAGAACTGCCTGAAGTGCAGGCTGGATTTAGAAGACGCCATGACACTAGGGATAGTATAGTCAATGTCAGATGGATCTTGGCTGAAAGCAGAGTCCCAGAGCAATGTCTATCTGTGTTTCATTGACTATGCAAAGGCATTTGACTGTGTGGATCACAACAAACTGTGACTGACTCTGAAAAGAATGAGAATCTCAGAACATTTGATTGTACTTATGCAAAACCTATACTTGGACCAGGCAGTCGTCAGAATAGAGCAAGGAAACACTGCATGGATCAAAACTGGGAAGGATGTGCATCAAGGATGTGTCCTATCTCCGTATCTTTTCAATCTATATGTGGAACAGATTATCCGGGAGGCTGGGCTCTATGAGAAGAAGTGTAGTATCAGTTTTGGAGGTAGACTCATAAACAATCTGCGTAATGGAGATGACACAGCCCTGCTTGCGGAAATTAAAGAGGACCTGAAGTGCTTGCTGCAGAAGGTCAAGGACTGCAGTCTTCAATATACACTGAAGCTCAACATCAAGAAAACAAAGATTCTCAGCACTGGGCCAACTGGCAGCATCATGACGGATGATGAAGAGACTGAGACTGTTAACAGCTTCCGTTTACTTGGCTCTATAGGCATTGCTCTTGGTACTAGTAGCCATGAAATTAAAAGATGAATTGCATTGGGAAAGTCTGCTGTCAGAAACCTTTCCAAAGTACTTAAGAACAATGATGTCAGTCTGGAGACTAAGGTGTACCAGATACAGGCCATTGTCTTTGCAATTACTTGTTATGCATCAGAGAGCTGGAAAGTGCCTAGAAATGATAGAAGGAAAGTTGATGTCTTTGAGCTGTGGTGCTAGAGAAAAGTATTGAATATATCATGGGCTGCCAGGAAAACAAACAAGTTCGTCCTGGAGAGGGTGAAGCCAGGCTGCTCTTTGGAAGCAAGGATTCTGAAGCTTTGTCTGATACACTCATGCTTGGGAGGGTGAATGGACAGCACAGGAGAGGAAGACCCTTGATGATATGGGTTGATTCCATCACTGGGGTAATGGAGATAGGCGAGTCAGAGACAATAAGATTGGCAAGGGATAGAGCAGGGTTTAGGGCTGTTGTACATAGGGTCACTATGATTCGCAGGTGACGTGACGGCACATAACAACAACAATACTACTCTCAGACATGAGTTGATAATTCGAAGTCATAGTATGAAAATGACTGAGCACAGCATACAAGTGCCTAGGGCTCGATTCCAAGGCACTCTAAAACTAAAAAATCGGGAGACGGAAGAGTCAGTAACCAACTCCTAAATGGTTTGGTAAGGTAATAGGAGAAAATGAGACAACCAGTAGTATTGCAGGAGCCAAAACAAAAGAATTTTGAGGATGGAGAAGCCAAGTTTGTCTAACACTATAAGAGGATACACAGTGTGAAAGCAAAAAAAGAGCAACAAGACCACTAAAGACCTCGACAAGAACTACTTACAAGTGCAGAAATACTAATAGAAGCCCTAGTAGAGGAAGGAATAATGGAAAGTGGGAAATTTTGTATAGTCTAGCTATGAAGCCTCCAAAACTGATCACCACTGAGGTAATCTGACTTTGAGTGATCTGATAGGACTTAGTAAAACAGCCTTCTAAGGTTTGAAGATGGCAATCTCCCCCCCCCGCCCCCCCCACCTCAGGTCTTTTATTTTGTTTCTACTAGTTTATTTACAAAATTCGAATACAAATTTGGACAAATTCTTTCAATTTCCCTTACCCTCCTATCCATCGAATTGTACAACCCAATGATTAATCCGTCCCTCCCCCTGCACATCTACATCCCTCTGTTTCCAGCCTCTCCCACCCCTCCAGGATCCTTACACTCATTCTACAATAATGGTTTTATACAATATTTATCCTTGTGGGACTGAGAGCATAAAGCTCTCCAGTCCCTCCCAAGTCAGATAAAAATTTACAAAGTTATTGTTCCTGCGTGCTGCATAGTATTCCACTGTGTGAATGTACCATAATTTCTCAATCCATTCGTTAGTGGTTTGGAGATTTGGGCTGTTTCCATGTTCTTGCGATGGGAATAATGCTGCTATGAACACTGGTGTACAAATCTCAGTTTGTGCCTCAGTTCTCATATTCTCAGGGTATTTTCCAAGTAGTGGAATAGCTAGGTCATATGGAATTTCTATGTTCAGCCTTTTGAGGAAGCACCAAACTGCCTTCCAGGATGGTTGTACCAATTTACAATCCCAAGAACAATGTATAAGAGTTCCTTTCTTGCCACATCCTCTCCAACCTTTATTACTTGCTGCTCTGTTAAACTTTACCACTCTTACTGTAGTGAGATGGTACCTCATTGTGGTTTTGAATTACATCTTTTATTGCCAGTGATTTGGAGCATTTTTTCATATGTTTGCCATTTGAATATCTTCCTCTGTGAAAATTTTTTCCATGTCTTTTGCCCATTTTGTAATTGGGTTATCAGTCTGAAGATGGTAATCTTAACAGAAGTAGAGTGTGACATTTTTTAAGTAGAGGAGTGGCTCATGAGTTCTTTCTTCTGAATTTTCACCAAGTTGTTATGTGTGGTTGCTATGAATCAGACTAGTTTATAGCTGATCCTCCAGTGGGTATTCAGAGGCTGTAAACTGGAGGGGAGGAGACTGTCCATCATTCTACCACAGAGCAGCTGGTAGATTAAACCACTTGCCTATTGGTTGGCAGCACAACTCCTTACCATGAGGCCATGAAAGCTCCCATTCAGACAGCAGCTGAGCAATTTACCAAGTGTATACTAGTTTCTACCTAGTTACAAAGAAAAACAACATGATGTTGTTAGGTATCATAAAGCAGTTCTGACACATAGCAATCCTATGCACAAGGAATAAAAACATGCCCAGTACCATGCCACAGGGCTACTAGTTGCTGTTTGAGCCTGCTGTTGCAGTAACTATGTCAACTCATCATCTTTTTTATCATCTTTTTACTGATCCTCTACCAAAGATGATGTCCTTCTCCTGGATTGCTATCTGCTGATAACACATTAAATACATGAGACGAAGTCTTGACATCTTATCTTCTAATAAATGTTTTGACTATACTTCTTTCAAGACAGATCTTTGTTTTATTTGGGTTTGCCATCTCATAAAGGATCTGAACAAGAGACAGAAACCTTGCCCTATCCTGGGCAATCTCCCTGTGCTCAGAGCCTACTGCAGTCACTGGATCAATTCATCTCCTTGAGGATCTTTCTCCCTAGGATCTTCTAAGGTTCCCAGCATGATATCTTTTTCTAAGCACTAGTGTTTCCTGACAACATGTTCAAAGTATGTGAGACGACATTTCAACATCTCTGCCCCTAAGGAGCACCCCAGCGGCTGCACATCGCCTCCAACTTCCTTTGGCAACCTCGATTATATTCAATACTATTTGCCAATACCACAATTCAAATGTAACAACTGTTGTTTTGATCTTTATTCATTCTTCCAACTTTCATATGCATAAAAATAAATTGGCTTGGGTCAGAAGCATCTTGAACTTTAAACTGGCATCTTTGCTCTTGAGGACTTTAAAGAGATCCCTAACTGCAGATTTACCCCAGGGAACATGTCTTGATTTCTTGACTGATACTTCCATGGGAGTTGAACATGGATCCAAGTAAAATGAAACCACTGACATCAATCTTTTCTCCATTTCTCATGATATTACCTACTGGTCTAGTAGTAAGGATTTTTATTTTCTTTATGTTGAGATGTAATCTATACTGTAGGCTGCACTCTCTGATCTTCTTTAGAAAGTTCTTTAAGCCTTCTTCATATTCTCAAAGCAAGATTGTGTCACCTCACCAACATAGGATGTTAATGAGTTTCCTTCCAATCCTGAAGCT